CCCCCAAAACCCCAAAACCCCATTTGAAGCAATTTGAAATATAATTGATAATAAATAAAATGGAAAAAGGGACGAAATTACTTTCAAAATTTGTGATTTTAAATAATGGTGTATAAATTCCATAGATAGGATTCGGAACATATTAAATTAGCACACCTGAGCCAATTTAATATGCTCTTATTGCAGGTTACAGATTAATTGATAGTGCAGCAGGTTATAGAAATGAAAAAATGATTGGAGATTAAGTAAAATAATTCATGAAGTAAAGTGGAGTGCCAAGAGATCAAATTTATATTACTAGCAAAATCTCTCCTGACCAAATGGGAATAACCAAATCTTAGTAATGTATTGATAACTCCTTGAGGAGCTTTGATTTGAATTACATTGATTTAATGCTGATTCATTATCCAGGGACTAAAGGTCTAAAGAAAAATGATCCTTTAAATAAGTAAAACAGAATTGAAACTTGGAGAGTGCTTGAGGAATATGTAGGAAAAGGGTTGATAAAATCAATTGGTGTCTCAAATTTTACAAAGACTCATTTAGAGTAGATACTTGAAATTGCTTAAGTGAAGCCTGTAATTAATTAAATAGAGCTACATCCATTGTATGTTGAAAAAGAGACTATAAATTATTGCAATAAAAATTAAATACTAGTTGAGGCTTATTCCCCACTGGCTCGATATAATGAATAGTTAGTAAAAGATTAAAGGATCATAGATATTTCTTAAGAAATTAATTAAAGTGTTAGCCAGACTATTCTAAAGTGGCATTTGGAAAAAAATTTTATTCCATTGCCAAAAAGTGTAAATTTTGAGAGAATTAACGAAAATATTCAGCTTGATGGATTTGATTTAAACAAAGAACAAATTGAGGTTATTGATTAATTATCAGAATTTTAAAATAAAGTGTGTTGGGATCCAAGGGATGTAGAGTGATTTATTCTATTTATAATAGTAATTATTATTTTGTCAATTTGATCATGTTTTTCCCTTTTTCTACTTTTCTTGGGGTTTTGGGGTTTTGGGG